AACGCTGGGGATGTCAACACTCGGTAAAGTAGAATAGTACCTGTCAAATAAGATGGTACAAATATGTGTGGTTAACTCGTACTTTAGTTCAAGGTGCAGCCAGCCAGCAGTGTCCAGTCACTCTGCATGTAACGCGGGTTTCGCTTAAACCGCGGTGCTTTCTCCGGAGGGCGTCGAACCGCGTTAAACGAGGAATGGCTGCAGACCGCTGGGTGGGTTGAGACAAATCGAACGGCCACTCACTTGCAGCTTACCACCACAACACGGCAGCCCGGTGCCCAACGTAAGCCGAAATCTGCCAGTAATGACGATTACATAAAATAACGGAGTTCATCAGACGCCTGGCACATGGCGACCTTTAAATGCAAGCGCCACTCCGTTGGGAAATTGAAAAATATTACCGCGCGCACGCGAACAACGCACGCGCGGTATGTATCAAACATAAAACATGTGTGTACGTCGCTAGGGGAGTGGGGGGTGAAGGAAGCCTTCATGCAGCAGTGGATAGATCATGGCTGATGAGTAGGAGACACATTTTGTACCATGTCGCCGTCCTGCGTTGTGTTACAGCAGCAGGCCCCAGAGCTGATTGCCCAGCAACGTCTGGCGACACACCGGGTCGCCGAAGCGTGCCGCTGCTGCTGATGTCTCGCGAGATGTCAAACAAATCAGCCCCAAAGTCACTTTGCAGATGTGACGAATGGAACGGGAGAGGCGGTTGCAGAGGTCTCCCAACCTGACGTTCCGCAACTTGGGAGGCCCACCTCAGATACGTTAAGCCAGTCTCAAGACAATCTTGATGTGAAGCTTTCGTGATTGCAGGAATCCAAACCCTTTGGTTATTTCCGTAAAGTCACGTCGGTAGAAAACCAACACAAGCGATCGTCATCAGGTGTAACCGATACAGCAGGAGAAGGAGTCAGCGAAAAAAAAAGTTGTATTGTTCATGTTTTTGTTTTTTGTTTGTTGCGGTTGCACCCGATTCAAGAGCCGAATGGCTCACAGGGCTATACCTAATAAATGAACTTGAACTTGAGCAGTTCTCCTGCTGTATCAGTTCCACCTGATGACGGTCGCTTGTGTTGCGATCGAAACGTCGCGATTGATTTAATTTGAGACCTACGTGACTTTACCGAAAGAACCAAAGAGGAGTCTCAAGACTCTTTCTCGGGCAGCGCTCTTCATCGCAAGGCCCTGCGGGTCACTGGCGGCCCCTGGTGGCCTTTAGTGTGGCCCCTGGTGGTCTTTAGTGTGGTCCCTGGTGGCCTTTAGTGCGGCCCATGGTGGCCTTTAGTCTGGCCCCCTGGTGGCCTTTAGTGCGGCCCCTAGTGACCTTTAATGTGGCCCCTGGTGGCCTTTAGTGTGGCCCCTGGTGGCGTTTAGTGAGGCCCCTGGTAGCCTGTAGTGTGGCCCCTGGTGGTCTGTAGTGTGGCCCCTGGTGGCCTGTAGTGTGGCCCCTGGTGGCCTTTAGTGTGGCCCCTGGTGGCCTTTAGTGTGGCCCCTGGTGGCCTGTAGTGTGGCCCCTGGTGGCCTTTAGTGTGGTCCCTGGTGGCCTTTAGTGTGGCCCCTAGTGACCTTTAATGTGGTCCCTGGTGGCCTTTAGTGTGGCCCCTGGTGGCGTTTAGTGAGGCCCCTGGTGGCCTGTAGTGTGGCCCCTGGTGGCCTGTAGTGTGGCCCCTGGTGGCCTTTAGTGTGGTCCCTGGTGGCCTTTAGTGTGGCCCCTGGTGACCTTTAGTGTGGCCCCTGGTGGCCTGTAGTGTGGCCCCTGGTGGCCTGTAGTGTGGCCCCTGGTGGCCTTTAGTGCGGCCCCTGGTGGCCTTTAGCGTGGCCCCTGGTGGCCTTTAGTGTGGCCCCTGGTTGCCTTTAGTGTGGCCCCTGGTTGCCTTTAGTGTGGCCCCTGGTGGCCTTTAGTGTGGTCCCTGGTGGCCTTTAGTCTGGCCCCCTGGTGGCCTTTAGTGCGGCCCCTAGTGACCTTTAATGTGGCCCCTGGTGGCCTTTAGTGTGGCCCCTGGTGGCCTTTAGTGAGGCCCCTGGTGGCCTTTAGTGTGGCCCCTGGTGGCCTTCAGTGTGGCCCCTGGTGGCCTTCAGTGTGGCCCCTGGTGGCCTTTAGTGTGGCCCCTGGTGGCCTTTAGTGAGGCCCCTGGTGGCCTGTAGTGTGGCCCCTGGTGGCCTTTAGTGAGGCCCCTGGTGGCCTGTAGTGTGGCCCCTGGTGGCCTTTAGTGTGGCCCCTGGTGGCCTTTAGTGTGGCCCCTGGTGGCCTGTAGTGTGGCCCCTGGTGGCCTTCAGTGTGGCCCCTGGTGGCCTTCAGTGTGGCCCCTGGTGGCCTTTAGTGTGGCCCCTGGTGGCCTTTAGTGAGGCCCCTGGTGGCCTTTAGTGTGGCCCCTGGTGGCCTTTAGTATGGCCCCCGGTGGCCTTTAGTGTAGCCCCCGGTGGCCTTCAGTGTGGCCCCTGGTGGCCTTCAGTGTGGCCCCTGGTGGCCTTTAGTATGGCCCCTGGTGGTACTTTAGTGTGGCCCCTGGTGGTCCTTCAGTGTGGCCCCTGGTGGCCTTTAGTATGGCCCCTGGTGGCCTTTAGTGTGGCCCCTGGTGGTCCTTTAGTGTGGCCCCTGGTGGCCTTTAGTGTGGCCCCTGGTGGCCTGTAGTGTGGCCCCTGGTGGCCTTTAGTGTGGTCCCTGGTGGCCTTTAGTGTGGCCCCTGGTGACCTTTAGTGCGGCCCCTGGTGGCCTTTAGCGTGGCCCCTGGTGACCTTTAGTGTGGCCCCTGGTGACCTTTAGTGTGGACCCTGGTGGCCTTTAGTGTGGCCCCTGGTGGCCTTTAGTGTGGCCCCTGGTGGCCTTTAGTGTGGCCCCTGGTGACCTTTAGTGTGGACCCTGGTGGCCTTTAGTGTGGCCCCTGGTGACCTTTAGTGTGGCCCCTGGTGACCTTTAGTGTGGACCCTGGTGGCCTTTAGTGTGGCCCCTGGTGGCCTTTAGTGAGACCCCTAGGTGGCCTTTAGTGTGGCCCCTGGTGACCTTTAGTGAGACCCCTGGTGACCTTTAGTGTGGCCCCTGGTGACCTTTAGTGAGACCCCTGGTGGCCTTTAGTGTGGCCCCTGGTGACCTTTAGTGTGGCCCCTGGTGACCTTTAGTGAGACCCCTGGTGGCCTTTAGTGTGGCCCCTGGTGGCTTTTAGTGTGGCCCCTGGTGGCCTTTAGTGTGGCCCCCTGGTGACCTTTAGTGTGGCCCCTGGTGGCCTTTAGTGTGGCCCCTGGTGGCCTTTAGTGTGGCCCCTGGTGGCCTTTAGTGTGGCCCCTGGTGGCCTTTAGTGTGGCCCCTGGTGGCCTTTAGTGTGGCCCCTGGTGGCCTTTAGTGAGACCCCTGGTGGCCTTTAGTGTGGCCCCTGGTGGCCTTTAGTGTGGCCCCTGGTGGCCTTTAGTGAGACCCCTGGTGGCCTTTAGTGTGGCCCCTGGTGGCCTTTAGTGTGGCCCCTGGTGGCCTTTAGTGTGGCCCCTGGTGACCTTTAGTGAGACCCCTGGTGGCCTTTAGTGTGGCCCCTGGTGGCCTTTAGTGAGACCCCTGGTGGCCTTTAGTGTGGCCTCTGGTGGCCTTTAGTGCGGCCCCTGGTGGCCTTTAGTGTGGCCCCTGGTGGCCTTTAGTGCGGCCCCTGGTGACCTTTAGTGTGGCCCCTGGTGGCCTTTAGTGTGGCCCCTGGTGACCTTTAGTGAGACCCCTGGTGGCCTTTAGTGTGGCCCCTGGTGGCTTTTAGTGTGGCCCCTGGTGGCCTTTAGTGTGGCCCCCTGGTGACCTTTAGTGTGGCCCCTGGTGGCCTTTAGTGGGGCCCCTGGTGGCCTTTAGTGTGGCCCCCTGGTGACCTTTAGCGCGGCCCCTGGTGGCCTTTAGTGTGGCCCCTGGTGGCCTTTAGTGCGGCCCCTGGTGACCTTTAGTGAGGCCCCCGGTGGCCTTCAGTGTGGCCTCTGGTGACCTTTAGTGTGGACCCTGGTGGCCTTTAGTGTGGCCCCTGGTGACCTTTTGTGCGGCCCCCTGGTGGGGCATTTAGTGCGGCGCCGGACAATCGACAAATCGTGAAAACACCGCCCCGTCATCACCATCATCATCGTCGTCGTGCCACTGCCAACCCCAACAATGGTTTAAAATGTGTGGCGGAGCCTCACACTGCTGATGTCTTGTCGCGTAAAAAATTAGTTCAGAACACTGCTGTACAGGGAGTCTTGCGTTGATATGTTTGGCCAGTTCCGTTAGAGCCGAATGCCCACGCGTACACAATAATACTTCTACTACTTGCTGATGTAGATGCAGAGCAACGACTACAATCTCACATTCAGGTGGTGGTGAAAGCCGGAGAACCGAGTCAGGAGCAGCGGAGTTGTATCGCTGCGATGTCGTATTTGTGGATCGGGCAATATGTCACAACGCTTCTCTGTACTTGCCGTATTCTCCGGATCGTACGATGCTCCGGAAAGTAAAACGCACGCTAAACTTGTCCCCCAGCGTCAATGAAGTTTTACAAACCTGATCTCGCACGCACAAAGATCCCCCCCGTATGGTCTTAACAGACTGTTGGGGCAAGTGCTGTTAGCGAGTAGCACCTATGAAGGCCAGAACGGTCTCGCATTACGCCCGGCCGCCTTTGTCTCCCCAGTGTCGATGTTTACACAACGCACCGGGTACTCATTTGAGGCCGAGTCAACCTAGGGGGGATGCCCAGGACCGGTTCAGATTGTCGCCACTGATGTTGGCCGTGAGCGGGAATCGAACTCGGGTCGCCGGGTTCGTATTGCAGCGCGCTAACAGCTCCACCACCCTCCTCCTACGCATGCTCGCACGAACGCGGCTGTCTGTGGTGTCGTCTCACGCCTACCGAGTGATCCTCTCTCTCTGTGACAGTGATCGCATGCGGCTGCGCGTGACAAGTTGACATGATTATGATTATTCATTGCGATTACGAGAAGCACGGCACAACAGGGCCGATATGAAGACATCCAAAGAAGACGGTCACTGTGTGTACAACGTTGAGTATTTTTTTTATTTAAGTTTCTAATGCATCAGGCGACAACCCAGTATCATCATCATCATCATTCGCCGTCGACATGTTCTTATTATTACATCGGTTACCATAAACTCGCTGGGATCGGCGTTACTAAAGAGTTCCATACCACAGTGAATTCGATGTTCATAAAAGTAGCAAAATAAAATTAAAACCGAAGTGAAAATAATAACAAAAAAACCGGCTGTTGTATCTTTGTCGATCTGCATTGACGATGACATTCACGACGGCTTCAAAGACAACGCTATCTATGCTTGTTCATTTACCTTCCCGTTTGTTATAATTATCGTTTAAAGTAAAACATTTTTTTAATGAAAGTAAACCCCGTGAATGGATCCAAATGCAATCTCACCGCTGTTGGTGTGTGGCGCGTGTTAGCAATAATAATGTAAGAGTTCATCTTCTTGGTTCTTTCGGCAAAGTCACGTAGAAGGAAAATGATAAAATAATAAAAATAAAAATAATAAAATAATTCTCACGACGTTACGGCCACAACGCAAGCAGAAACGCCGTGAGAATTATTTAATTATCTTTTATTTTTATTATTTTATTATTTCCCTTCTACGTGACTTTACCGAAAGAACCAAGAAGATGAATCCCTGCAGTCACGAAAGCTTTAAATCGAAATGTAAGAGTTATTATTGTTGCAACATAAGCAAGGTTACATAGTATTTACATACGCGTTGACAATGTTTAAAAAAATATCTTCACTGCCTTCAGGGTCTCCGCGGCGGCTGTGTGCGAGTGTGTTCGTTGCGGGCACGTGTGCACATTTACCTACGTTTCAAATTGGTTCAGGATGCAAAAGTTTAAACGAGAGAAAATATACAGCGCAGAAACGCATCCATTACGTACAGCATGGGGATTCGCGTTTCTCATAAAAAAAAAGGGTTAAAACGGGGACAGACTTTCTTCACCATCATCACAATCCACTGCTGGATGAAGGCCTCTCACTCAGTGCGATACAATCAATAACCTACCTAGCACCTGCAGAGAGCTAATTTCATCTGCTCCGTCCCATCGATGGACCCCCCGTCCCATCGCTTGGCTGGATGTACTCGTACACAATACAAGACCACCCTTTCATGCCCAGATGTCTTCACCAAGGAAGGCAGTGAACGGGACAGACGGATGCGCCAATGTGCGCGTGATCTACGCCCTCTCGTGCGGTAGCTTCGAAGGCGAACGAACCCATCGACCGCCGCGTGAACGGCGTGCCCACCAGCCCACGTGTGACCACCACCAGCCAGAGGTCGCAAACGGGTTTTGATTCCTTACCCGTACCCGGCCGCACCAGGGTCGCAAATGGGTACCCGTACCCGGCCGGATACGGGTGCCCGTTCACTACCCGAAATGAGTACGGGTATCGGGTACCCGGTTGCGACCGCTGCCACCCGCAGGCAGGAGGCGAACCGGTGCCGTCTGTGTCCACAAGGGGGCGCGCTCTGGCCACGGCGGTGGGCACCGGCTCGTTCGTGATGGTTGTTTGGTTCGCCGCGAGGTTTCTTGCCCCCCCCCACCTCTCGCATGGCACACACACACCGCGGTACGGCCGTCAGCGTGAACCAGTCGTCGTCATCGTCGTCGCTCGAATTCATAGTCACACGCACGCACGAAAAGCCACTCATTCGTCACGAATACTGTGGCCTTAAATGGGAGGGGGGAATAGCTGACGTTTCGGGCAAGTGGCCTTTCTTCTGGTGTGCTATAGAGAAGGGTCATTGTACCATGCACCGCTTCGGAACGCCGACGAGGCCGATGCGCGCATTTCACTCATAACTGGGGCCACGCAACCCAAACTCTGGCGCAGACAAACTCCACGGAACTCTGCCGAAGCCCTCTTGTGGGGAAGCAGACCTCGACGTTGGCATTGTAGCTCATTGAACGTATCGCCATCATACGCAATCATTGCCCGACACGTCACGCGTTATATTCTTTGTATTGTGCTCGTTACACACACGCACGCAGCCAACGCAGCATTACCAAATTTTTCTTTTGAATTCACGTTAAAAGTCATCACGTGCTAAAATGCACACCCCCCCTCAAGTGGGCGCCTAGAGAGCCAACGATTCAATTGGAGAGATTTCGTTAAAATAAAATTAATGACGGTGCCCTTCAATTTGAATCGGCACCCGGGTCGCCTCGGACACGAATAACACAATCATGGGAGCCGTGCAGCGCGTGCAGATGACGATGTGAAACAATTCTAGATTTGAAGTTTTCGTGACTGCAAGGATCCATACTTTTTGTTTTTTTCGGTAAAGTCACGTAGGTGAAAAAATAAAATATAAATAAAAAAATTTAAAATGAAAAACTAAATTAAATCACGTTTCGGGCGCAACACAAGCGTCCGTCTTCAGGTGACAGACAGCGAAATAACAACCGCCTAAGTCTGCCTTAGTTGTTTTTTATTTTTTTACCTACGTGACTTTACCGAAAAATCAAAAAGTATTGATGTGAAACAAGCCTGGTAAACCCGGAGCGGTGGGTGGACCGCGAGCTGACGGCGTTTTTTGGCAAAAAAACATTTTGAGTCAATGAGCTACGGAGCAGATGCAGCGCGCGGCCAACCACACAAAGGGTGGCAACGCTCACAAAATACAGCGGTCAATCCCACTGCTGGCTGACCGCCTACCCAGCTTGTTTGACCAGCCCAGGAGGTTTTATTGTCGTTTGGTTTCTTACATCGCTCGCCCCGCCGCGCTGGAAGCTGCGGCCAGGAATCGAAACTCAGCTGGGGCCCGGGTCCACAATGCAGTGCGTCACCACGCGTATCAATTTCTTTATGATTTTTAATAAAAGTCAACATGTCACAACATTACCAAGTCGTCATCGTCGTCATCATCATCACCATCATCATCAGTTATGCAACAATCCATCCGGCTCCTTGCGTGAGCTGATCTCACGCTGCTCCGCGGTGGGGTTCCGCTGGAAGGTGGTCGTGGTGCAAACGGTGTTTGGTCATCACGTTAAAATACCTCTTCGTTTTTGCCACTTGAAGCACTACTAGCGAGTGAAATATCTGCGCCGGGCCCCGATGCTAAGTGGTGCCACTCGTCTGTGATGGTCGTATGCATCTGTCCGCCACATTTAATGACCACACTCAAAAAACGTGTGCTTCCCCACCATAGGAATGTGGAGTGGCTCGAGACTGCCGACGGAGTTGAGCACCGTCCTAACGCTTGTGGCGACGGGTCGGGAGACAGACGCCCTCATTCCAATAAACTTGAGTGTGAGCGCAACTCCATTCCCTTTCATACACGGTTATGAAAACGGCAGGACGACTTGTAGGACCGAATCTTAAAAAGTCATCTGCGGCAACCTGTTGGGTGTACTTGTCAGCGTCATCCCCCTCGTACGGTGCAGGTTTTCCTCCTGCGGCACTTCCCAAGTTTCCTCCAACGTGCAAAATACTGTAAGGAATTGGCCAAACATGTGACTCCACACTCGCTTGGGGACGAGGGGGGGGGGCGGTCACACAAGACTTGGTGAGGCATTCAGTTGACGTGGGTGCAAACATTGGCGCCTCGTGGTTGCGCGCTCGTGCGATACAGGTCGGGCCAGGTCAATGCAAGCGAGCAGGCGGTCCGCTCACGGGGCGAAAACCTCACGAACATTCGAAAAAAGAAAGTTAATGGCATTTGGTGATGTCGCTTAAACAAGATTTCGCGCCAACCGCTGATCCACCACCGCACGCGGCGGTCACCCGGAACAGCAGTGGGTCCACACCCACGCGTGTCCAAGTGCGCAAAGCAACGAGCGAACAACTCAAAGTGTAGCGATGGAGGGGGTGGTACTGGTTGAGCGCGGTGCGCGCGTTCAAACGACCCACGAGGGTCGTGGTGCCGTCCAGCAGACGGAGAGGGTAGACCCCGACAAGACCCAGCGCCAATTCGTCTCGCCACCAAGTGGTTGGCAGAGAGTGTTTTGAGATACGGGAGGACGTCTCTTGTTTTTCTTTGCTCACTAACGCTCATGCGTGCGCGCACACGGACGCAAATGACACGGGGATAAGATCCAACGCTTAGAAAAAAAAAATGAAAGATTACAGTAAAACGATTTCGTGATCACACAAATTTACAGGTGAAGCATAGAAAACAAACCACTCGGTAATTTGCCAAAATTCCCTTCTGAAATAAATGTTTTTCGTCACTAAAACTCGGTGAGGCTCTCCTGGGCAAAGGCGTATTAATGGTAGCTATTTATATAAAACCAAACAACCAAAAAATAACTAAACGCAACTGGATTACCCTTCTTCACGTTGCTGTATTCCCACGGGAGCCGATGGGTCCCGTGCAATTTTGGCACGATCCCCAACCCCACTGCCACCCAGCGTCGACACCGTTGCGTGCAACTCGTCGCTCGCCCATCAGCCGGCTGATAACAGATGGCAAAAGCGTCCACGTTGTCGACTGTGGACTCATCAACAGCTGTGTGTGTGTACAGTCCAATCGCCTGGGTCAACTTGCACTGGGATCCAATTCCATCAAGAACACGATTCCTGTTCAACACCCACCCCCCTGTTCCCACTGGTGCGATCCGGACCAGACCACGGGGTCATCCGTCGCGCTGTAACATGCCCTGCGGTGGTAGCCGATGTCTTAAACTGAGCAAAGAAGCAAAAAGAAAACCACTTAACAACACTCCGAACACTCTCTTTACACCCACTTTTTCCAGCAACCTATTGGCATAACGTTTATACAGAAGCATTTATATTAATGTGTACATACACGGAATTGCAAAATGTGGTATGAAATTCCTTTTTTCTTTCCAGAAAGCCATTCGCACAAACCTCGACCCGCCGCCGGTCCTGGCTATTACTAACGTTTTTAAAATGGCACTAATGTGGAGTTCGTTAACGGTGGTAACCGACCGACGGTAGGTCAACAGTGGTTTATGCAAATACAGTCGAGTGGACGGAGCGGCCGACGGAGGACACGTGAACGTTTCAGAGGGTCGCTGCGCAGACGAAGCGGCGGCCTCGGGCGTGACGCTGCGGCAGACGGAGACGCGGGTACTGTGTGCGTTGAGAAATACAGTCACCACATGCAGGGATGATACACAATAAATTATAATAGAAGATAAATATTCAACTGCTAAAACCAGGAAAAATCCGGGCGGAGAACGCCTCACCTTTAAAGGAAAAATGAGCATGGGGCAAAAAAAAATAAACATGTAGGAAATAAGCCCAGTACTGTATCATCAGAAGTTAGTCGTTTTGCAAAATATAATTATAGTTTTTTTTTTTACAATTTAAAAAAACCATGAATATTAAAAATCCCATTAATAATGATAACAGCGGTGGAATAATAATAACTACGCACTCCCACAAAATAAAATGTTTTAAACGAAACCTACACCGGCCAATGAAGAGTGGTAAAGTACAGCCGCCTAACGTTACTGCACAAATTGTACCTCGACGCAAAGGTTCGCCACCACGGTTCCCGTGCAGCCCCTACACACCAACCACAGCTACTGCCACCACCGCCACTCGCATTAACATCCATTGCATTTACCGTTGCAATAGAGCGGGCGGGCACTGCAGTCAGTGTGCTGCTTTAAGTTGCCAGAAAACGCACCAAACCCCGCTCTCTCTCGTTCACTCACCGACTTGCCGGCCGACGAGCGAGCGAGCGAGCAAACGGAGAGAAATCAACGTAGTGTGGGGGGGTGGGTGGGGGGGAAACCGGAGCAGCTGCCTTCACAGCGCCGAGGGTCGAGTGTTCCTCTTCGTGGCACTCGGAAGCCACCGAGTCCGCGAGCATTGTCGAGAGGCTCCGGCAGAACAGCCCCCCCCCCCGCCCCCCCGTTGCGTGCCGCAGTCGCGTCAGTTACGTCTAGGCTGGGGGGGGCCAGGGGACGGGGGCCACGGCGGGGTCCATCCGCTCGTTGGCGCGACACGCAAGAGTCCCACTCGCGAGTCGCCACGTGCGGACAAAACCCCAACCGCCAGCGCCCTTCCTTTGCCCGCCGCCGCCGCCACCGCCACCGCCGCACCACGGCCCTCACAAAAGGAAGGGGTTGTTGGTGCCGCCGGGCTGGCCAGACTGCGCCGACGAGACGTCGCCGGCCCACGCCAGCGGCTGCGGGGGCAACGTCCCCATGACGCCGGGGATGGAGAGGGGCATGTTTCCCATCATGCCCGGCGGCATCATGGGCAGGGCGCCGCCGGGCATGCCCGGCATCACGGGCATCACGGGCATGCCGATGGGCATCGGGCCCATGCCGATGACGCCCAGCGGCGGGCCGCCCACGAGGGGCATGGGCGCGAGGGGAACGGCGCCGCCCGCAAACGCCTGCGCGGGCAGCCCCGGGCTGGAGCGCAGCTGATTGAGCGTGAGCGACGGCGGCTGGTTCAGCTGGAACGGGTTGGTGGCCGACGGGGTGGACGAGGCGGACGGTGCCGGAGCCGGCGCCACCCCTGCAAGCGCGCGCGGTCGGACGGGTGCACAGGCGGATGAGCGAGAGCATGGGCGAGCGAGTGGGCGAAGATGTGGGTGGCGAGTGTGTAAGAACGTGCGTGAGTGGGCGACGGTGTTGACGAGTGTGCGTGGGTGAACGAACATAGGTCAGGAGGAGCGTGGGTGTACTCGTTGGCGAGCACGAGCAAGTTGGTGCGAGAGGGTGAGTATATTGGTGGGTATGTAGGTGGGGATGACTTGGTGAAGTGGTGGGTGAGTGCATGGGCGGGCGCGTGGGCGAGTGCGACGGTTAGGATACCGATTGTGTGGACAAGTGCTAAGAGAGCACGTGGGTGAGTACATGCATAGACAAGTGAACGTGTTATTTTTTACGAAAAAATCGTAATCGTCAGTTCAACTGGACGAACACCATCAGAATCGGCGTCAGCATCTACCTGTTCAAACAGGCAATAGCGGCAGGATTAATCTACAACCGTAGCCTTCAGCCAGTGGCGGAAAATTGCACGTTTGAGCCATCCCACAACCGCCGCCTACGACCTTTCCAAAACAGTCACTACCCGCCCGCCCGAAGCCCGCCCGCTGAAGCCAGCGCGCCCGCCCGCCCGCCCAAGCGAGCCCGAACGCCCGCCAACCCGAGCGAGCCCACCACGTACCCAAGAAGGGGTTCTTGGCCTGCGGGACTGGCGGCGGCGGCGCCGACTTGCTGACGAGCGAGTCCAGGTTGACCGAGCGCCGCGTTAGGGCCCGAGGAACGACTCGGGGGTCTTGCGGCTACGACGGCGTCGCCATCATGCCTTGCTGCGACAGCGAGTTCGACAGCCCCGACAGCTCAAAGGCGTCCGGGCTCCGGCTGCCCGAGTCGTCCCCACCCAGCAGGTCCATGCCGCCTGCTCCAGACGAGAGATACGCGCGTGGTCAGCCCTCTCCACCGCTGCAAACGATGCATGCTGCGTTCCCCCCTACCAACCATCTCCCCCATCTCCCCCACCCACCGCCCACCTTCTCCCCCCACCTTACCAAGCAGGCCGTGCGATACCCACCACTTGGTCTGCCCGCTGCTGCTTGAGGAGGGTCCCCCCTTGCACTACTCGCTACCGGAAGGACATTTGATTTGGGTGGACGGATACACGAAAATTTAAAAAGAACCGCACCCAATAAAGCACGCGAGACACGGTCGTCACTGCCATCGCCATGGCGCTGATGGTGGACAGAGCTGGAACGGTGAGTGGATCAAGTCGGTTTAGTTGACTAAGAGTTGTAATCGACTACTTCATTGTGGTCTGATACTCGGACAACTGACTCATCTCATAGAGCTTGAGATAACGTTACTAGAATAAGTGTTTAAAAATAATCTTAACAGCTCGTGGGAGCAAAGAGATTAGTTCACGTGCAAGGAGTGATATGGATGCTAAAAGTACTGGACAATGAAAGATGGTGACAGGTGTGTGGGCAGGTTCTTCATTCAGCAGGCGTAAGACAATGGCTGACGATGACGATGACAACAATAACGATGATGACAGCGTTGAATGGCTGTATCACACAGCTTATTTTGTCTTCTTCTGAACGTGCAGGAATTCTACAGAGCACATTTAGTGTCCCAGACTGAAAGTAGCTGCACTATAATCTACACTTGCTTTTTTATCTGCTGACATTACTGCCTAATAATGTCATTCCAACAAATACGCCGTGTTGCATTCCCATGCCACACTGGACGCACGTTAACTCTTAAATATGTTACGCATTGTTGCACGACTCGCAGTCTGGAAAAGCTTGCTCCTGGCAGCGAGTGCCATGCGGGCAAAAACAAACGCCATGGCATAACGAATGTTGCATTCCTCTAGAACAGTGGTTCTTAACCTTTTTGCAGGTACTGAACCCCACCAGTTTCATATGCGCATTCACCGAACCCATATTAATTGGATAAATAAAATATTATTTTTTCAAATTCAAAACATAGGTATATGTTTTACTGGTGCACAATCATACGAGTCGGGTGTGTGTCTTAACCTCCGCCGAACCCCTGAGACTGACTCACCGAACCCCTGGGGTTCGATCGAACCCAGGTTAAGAACCACTGCTCTAGAACGTCACCTCACTCCTGAGCACGAGATGCACACGTTAAATTGACGTCACGTCTAACCTGATCAAAGGAGCGGACCCAACTCTGCTGCTGTCAGAATGGCAATTTCGTGCACTTACATTCAGGCACATTAACAGCAGACACCCCCCCCTTGCATGAGTTTGGTATTTTTCTTGTAAAACTGTTATGGGGTAAGTAATATTTATATTCGTTGGCTTAACTCCATGAGAAATGTTTTATTTTTTCAAATGTACGAGCTTTTTAAACACGCACGCAGTTAGTCACCAAGGCCTTTAGCGTGCATTAGGCATTATGAAGCTTTACATCATAATGGGGGGGGGGGGCGAGCGGCATAAGCTACAGCCTGTAAGTTTTTAATGAATGAATGAACCGTCCCATAACTTTTCCAATAAAAAATCAACTAGAACGCACTTCGCCAGAAACACAACCGTAACACAACATCGGGACTCGGTGGGAACGACTAAAGGTGACGCAAGCGTCTAATTTGTCAATCTTTTCCAAAAACAAACCTTAAATGAAAGACCGAGCTGACAAAGCACACCGTGCATCATGCACACACAACAGCATGTGGGGAAGCACCCCTGTCAATTTCAACCCTCGTCTGTTTATCAATCAATTACACGCCAACTTCTGAACTCAATAACAAAAAAAATCAGGTTACTTATTTATTGACATGTGACAACGCCGATACAAAACAGTGAGAAAAAGAATAACCTCCTAAAGGGTTTACCGCTGCCCAATTATCTGCATTTTACATAAATAATAAACACTTAAGCTCTATGCCACCCACTGCGTACTCCCTGCGCCCCAGCTAATGACCTACCTTGCCAACGCTAACGAGTCATCTGCAGTGCTCGCGTTTCCTGGCAACTGGACGCCCGCTGAGTCCCGAAAGGTTTTTGTTATTTTTGTTTTATTCTGAAACCGGGAGGCGGTCAGGAAGCTCCGGAGGTCAGAGCGCGAAACTGACACCGCCGAGATCCTGGGACAACATCCAGGTTTCAGCCGCCCCGAGATCAACTCGTGTTCGCAAGTGTGGGGAGTTGATGGTCCCAGTCCGGTCATCCATCACCGTGTGTAAAAAAAAAAAAAAATCAGTACGTAAAGTTTTGGCTCTGCACTGGATTTGGCTAAACTTGCAACTTAAAAAAAAAAATCACTACGTAAAGTTTTGGCTCTGCACTGGATTTGGCTAAACTTCCAACTTAAAAAAAAAAAAAAATCAGTACGTAAAGTTTTGGCTCTGCACTGGATTTGGCTAAACTTGCAACTTAAAAAAAAAAATCAGTACGTAAAGTTTTGGCTCTGCACTGGATTTGGCTAAACTTCCAACTTAAAAAAAAAAAAATCAGTACGTAAAGTTTTGGCTCTGCACTGGATTTGGCTAAACTTGCAACTAAAAAAAAAAAAATCAGTACGTAAAGTTTTGGCTCTGCACTGGATTTGGCTAAACTTGCAACTAAAAAAAAAAAAATCAGTACGTAAAGTTTTGGCTCTGCACTGGATTTGGCTAAACTTGCAACTAAAAAAAAAAAAAATCAGTACGTAAAGTTTTGGCTCTGCACTGGATTTGGCTAAACTTGCAACTTAAAAAAAAAAAATCAGTACGTAAAGTTTTGGCTCTGCACTGGATTTGGCTAAACTTGCAACTAAAAAAAAAATAATCAGTACGTAAAGTTTTGGCTCTGCACTGGATTTGGCTAAACTTGCAACTAAAAAAAAAAAAAATCAGTACGTAAAGTTTTGGCTCTGCACTGGATTTGGCTAAACTTGCAACTAAAAAAAAAATCAGTACGTAAAGTTTTGGCTCTGCACTGGATTTGGCTAAACTTGCAACTTAAAAAAAAAAAATCAGTACGTAAAGTTTTGGCTCTGCACTGGATTTGGCTAAACTTGCAACTTAAAAAAAAAAAATCAGTACGTAAAGTTTTGGCTCTGCACTGGATTTGGCTAAACTTGCAACTTAAAAAAAAAAAAATCAGTACGTAAAGTTTTGGCTCTGCACTGGATTTGGCTAAACTTGCAACTAAAAAAAAAAAAAATCAGTACGTAAAGTTTTGGCTCTGCACTGGATTTGGCTAAACTTGCAACTAAAAAAAAAAAAAATCAGTACGTAAAGTTTTGGCTCTGCACTGGATTTGGCTAAACTTGCAACTAAAAAAAAATCAGTACGTAAAGTTTTGGCTCTGCACTGGATTTGGCTAAACTTGCAACTTAAAAAAAAAAAATCAGTACGTAAAGTTTTGGCTCTGCACTGGATTTGGCTAAACTTGCAACTAAAAAAAAAAATAATCAGTACGTAAAGTTTTGGCTCTGCACTGGATTTGGCTAAACTTGCAACTAAAAAAAAAAAAAATCAGTACGTAAAGTTTTGGCTCTGCACTGGATTTGGCTAAACTTGCAACTAAAAAAAAATCAGTACGTAAAGTTTTGGCTCTGCACTGGATTTGGCTAAACTTGCAACTTAAAAAAAAAAAATCAGTACGTAAAGTTTTGGCTCTGCACTGGATTTGGCTAAACTTGCAACTTAAAAAAAAAAATCAGTACGTAAAGTTTTGGCTCTGCACTGGATTTGGCTAAACTTGCAACTAAAAAAAAAAAAAATCAGTACGTAAAGTTTTGGCTCTGCACTGGATTTGGCTAAACTTGCAACTAAAAAAAAAAAAAATCAGTACGTAAAGTTTTGGCTCTGCACTGGATTTGGCTAAACTTGCAACTAAAAAAAAATCAGTACGTAAAGTTTTGGCTCTGCACTGGATTTGGCTAAACTTCCAACTTAAAAAAAAAATTGGTTTTGACTCCTGTCACAATACTCTGTGGGAAAGTTCCACGCCTTAGCGTCACCTGAAGGAATCTCAGGTGGAGCCCTGTGATATCCGCTTCTGTGGGCCGCTACCTAACACGTACGGGATTGCACTGCTCAATAGAACCGTCATCACATGACGCGGACAACAATAGCATGATTGGAGTGAAATTGAGAAAAAAATAATTATTACGTCAGAGAATGATTTAAAGTCACTTCAAATCGGTCTCCTTTAACCCAACGCTGAACATTAAAGTTACGTGAAGTGTACGATAATCAAACTGAAAGTTTTATTCCTCAAAGTTGGAAATATTAAAAAAAAAACTTAGAAAAACTAAAAAGACAGTCATCGGTGACAAGACTGAATCCATCAACTCACTACAACGCACCTCCGATTAGCACGCTTGGCTACGTAAAGTGCAAAGGATGATTAAAATGTACAGAAATACAACACACGCACCCAGGCCACCTTGGCTGTATTGCATCTCGACTGTCCCTTGAGCCAATACCTGACATTCACCGCCAAGTGACGGTGACCACGGCGCCTTGTGCCAGGCAAGGTGCACTGAGGCCACGTGAAGTTTCGAAGGCTTGCCGACAGGGGGTCACGGGACAGACCCAGCAGGCGCCATGAGTCGGCTGACTGAGATGGCCGGCAGATTCACCAGCTGTGCTCCCCCTACTGTGCCAACTTGAACCAACCTCGGTTGAACATGCGCGGCCCCCATCAACGGGGAAAAGTGCTAACACTCGCCAGAGGCTGCCGGTAACCCGCACGCCCGACACGCACGCGGCGCCACGACATCGCGAGCGCTCAGCGCCCACCTGCCATGCCGCGGTGTCCTCGCGACGACGAGCGGATGCTGTCGAATTCCGAGAGGTCGTCCCCAGCCGAGCCGTTCACCCCTGTGAAAGGGTCAAAGGCACCTGCGTGACACAAAGACAGAGATACCCCACCCACCTATAGCCGTGTAAAGAGTAATGGGGGGGGTAGGTGTGGTCAGTGAGCATCTATCAACGCCGGCGGGGGCATCCAGAGGGCGGTGTCGTCGTCAGCACCACACGCCCCGGCCAGCTTTATGCTAAGACAATTCAAAAGGATGAGTTGACCAAGGAGAGACCCAGGATCGGTTCAGATGATCGCCACCGATGTAAGCCGTAGCCGGGAATGGAATTCGGGTCGCCGGTTTTTTGGTAGCGCAGTGCAACTAAACCAAGCTCACCATGCGTAGTGTTTGTGTCATGATGCTCGTTAAAGACAAGTCGACCGTGTAAAAAGAGAACACCTAAAAGCCAGGTGTCGGTGGCGATGATGGCAAAATTGTGAATGGTTCTTGAGTGTCAACTCAATGCGATGCCGTAAGAGCGATCCTTGACAAATTAGTTGGCAACTTAACGAGGGGAAGACTTACTGGCGGTGATGAGACAGCTTGGAATAGCAGTCTGTATGTGGAACTTCCTTCGCGCCGTACGTAGTCAACCGTGCTAATTGGACTTATTCCACATGTAAGCTATGTTTCCTAAAACTATAACCAAGTGGTCGCCCGACATGTGGAACTGCCCATGCTGCGACCACCAGCACCTTCACGAACTCTCCGCCAACACTCGAGCGCCACTCGCCTGATTGTGACGACGCGGGGGAGTGCATCGACCCCCACGGGTCGGCCGGCTTCGCCTGCGACGGAGTGCCCCCCCCGCTCCCCCCCCACGGGTCCGCAGCAGCCAAGGGCTTGGAGGGCGGGGGTCCCCAGGGGTCGGAGTGCGCCGAGCGCGTGGGCGAGGGCCCTCCGATGCCGATGCCGGCGCCGGCGCCGCCGCCTGTTGCGCTCCACGGGTCGGCGGCCTTGGGCTGGGACGTGAGCCAAGGGTCCGGCGCCGACACGGCCTGGACGCCGCCTCTGCCTGCGCTCACCCCGAGACAGCGACGGGGTTTACACGCGCACGTACGTCACCGACGTCGTCGCCAGCCAGGAGCAATGCACTGCTGGTGCGCGCCGCTTCCGAACATCGATGGGGCGTCCTACCGCGCAACAGCCCGCCGTGTGAACGCGGGGACCAGGAGACGGTGGTGCACATCGTCTCCGGGTGCGAAGTGCGTCAGGTCAGGGCGTGCCGGGCAGGCTGGTTGCCCTGTGCGTGCTGGAGGAGGAGGCAGTCTTGGGGCTGTGCGGCTACGTGGGCTTGCGTCCACTCGCATAACATCGAGATGGAGGTGAATTTATTTAATTACATATATTTTCTTACGTGTCCGGTGCTCTGTGTGAAAGTAAAAGCGTTCGCGAAATAAGTAACACACTGCTGGATGAAAGCCTCCCCCGCCCCCCCCCCCCCCCCCAAAGCTATCAATCCACTGCCGGTGAAGGCCACTATGGCCGCAGCGGCTTCAAAGCAACCTGTCGCAAGATGTCTGGGGCATTAGGCACGGTCATATGGCTTCCATTCCTTCGCCGAAAACTATGCACCGTTCAGACACCGCGCTTCCGAGCTCCGTCGCCATCTAACGTGCCCGATTTACGCGAAGCACGCACGGCGCTATAAATTGCGCTTATTATTTTCATACGTATTTCTCAGCCAGGATGAAAGCGAAAAAACGTTCAAATTACAATAAATCCCACACAAAGGTGCAAAGTATTTCCTGGGAGCCATCCCAAAGCTACGTCCTTCGTGGCAGCAGACGAGAATCGTGGTCACGTGGGGTACGCTCGCAACTTTTTTTTTGTTCACAGGTGGCGCCCGATATCTGTGAAAAAGAGCTCTATAGCTCATCGGAATCGTCCAGTATAAAAAAAAAGACCCAAAGCAGATGATACCTGAGTTTGATCTTCCCCGCCCTAAACCGCATCGCACAACCATGTTAGATGGGGATACCTGATGCACAAATGGAAAATGTTAAACTCTCCAGGAGTAGTGTGCGACTGCGGTCAATCAGAACAGACCTACCATTATTAACGATGCCAATACTTGATCGACAAATATGGAAGTAATGCTGCTGATGGTCACAACGCGTGGAGTGATTCACCAAACTCCTTTGCAAGTCAATAAACTGCCTGGACTTGGGGTATAATTTTTATCGCACTGTTGGTACCATCTGTCGGTACTACCCGTGTCTCTTCGTCTAGTCTGTAGGGTTTCTTACAGTCTCGTCGACACTCTCGTGTTGATTGTACGTCTAATCCGTAATGTTTATCTTGTACCGACTCATGCCTAATTTCATCCGTACTGTTTATCTTGTATCGAATCACGCCTAATTTCATCCGTACTGTTTATCTTGTACCGACTCATGCCTAATTTCATCCGTACTGTTTATCTTGTATCGAATCACGCCTAGTTTCATCCGTACTGTTTATCTTGTACCGACTCATGCCTAGTTTCATCCGTACTGTTTATCTTGTACTGACTCATGACTAGTTTCATCCGTACTGTTTATCTTGTACCGACTCATGCCTAGTTTCATCCGTACTGTTTATCTTGTACCGACTCATGCCTAGTTTCATCCGTACTGTCTGTACTGTGTGCGCCTCTGTACTGTGCATCTCAAACACATTAGAGAGTGTTGTCAGTACTCTTAGGTTCTTTCAGTAAAGTCACGTAGGTAAAATAATAATAGAATAAAATATTAATAAAAGAGAAGAACTAAATTAAATCACGACGTTTCGGAAGCAACACAAGTCTCCGTCATCAGGTGTAACTGCTCCAGTAAAATTACTGTAGCTTGCAGTCACGAAAGCTTCAAATCTAGAATTAAGTGTTGTCAGTAGTCTCGTTTGTCACGTCTTGTTTGTACTCCGATGTAACCAGCGTCTCCTTTGTTTTCTCTCGTCCGTGTGTGTCTAATTTGTAGTTGATCACGTTTGTACCGTCTCGTTTGTTCCATTTCATCCCGAATGTCTTTTTCATTTGAACTGTCCGCCATCTCTCGATTGTGCCATCCCATTAGTACCACCTCACGTGTACACTCATCGCACCCGTGAGCCTAACTAAAGTTAAGTTGCTGACAAAAACTACGAAACATGATTAATCTATACACACATGCACAATCCTAGTAGGTACGAATGCATTTTGGTCGATTAATCAGGAATCAATCGCAGAGCCCAACACCAACATTTGAACTTCCGCCACCGCAACATATGCAAGCGACGCGTTAAGTTCGCATGGAAACGATCGACCGATTCCTGTTAACACGGCCCGGTGTTTTTCACGGGGAATTACCGTGATCACCAAAGGTGCCCACAATGATCGTGAGCAAGTGATATCATCGTCATCATCATCATCATTCGCTGTGCGCTGGTATTGATGACTATTACTGAATCATAATTTTTTTCATTAAATACAAAATTGCCATTTCAGATATCTATGAACAAAAGCTCACCCTCTTAAGCCTCACCTTACCATATGAATAAAAAGTGTGCTGTATTTGGCCCTTACCCCCCCCCCCCTCTTCTCCAACCATTATATAAACGGAGTGGTAGCTCCTGCAATCTCTCATTTACTTGATACAGCTGTCGTGGCTGTGACGGTACCACCTGAAGATGGAAGCTTGTGTTGCCTCCGAAACGTCGTGATTTTTTATTTGATTTTACTTTTCTTAATTTTAATGTTTTATCTACGTGACTTTACCGAAAAAACCTAAGAATATGAATCCTTGCAGTCACGAAAGCTTCAAATCTAGAATCTATGATCTCTCCGGGTTTTTTTTCAACTACCAAGATACAGGACCTCTGTATATAAGTTGCCGTCTAATTTGTGTGTTTTTTCCAACACTGACAGCAAAGTTTTTGGCATTTTCTTGGCAATAGACATAAGCGAAAGAGTGTGCCTGCCCAAACCAACAATGGGCCGCGTGAATTGAGCAAGGCTCGCTGGCAGGAGGTCAAGGGGCAGACCTCGGTCGTACAGCTTAACCGAGAAGACTGGCAGATGCACCACCTGTACTCCCCACTGTGCCAATTTGCTGCGTTTTAGCCACATGGCGCTCTGCTCATTGTTGAGCGTCGCTCACTTGTCCCCTCCCAACTGCCCAGTAGCGTCCTCCACTAGCCTCCTCCACAGAGGCCGAGTTTGACACTGGCTGATAACAGTCATCGGGAAAGTTCAATCCATACACAAACGTCCTCCGTATAGACTTAACAGACTGTAGGAGCAAGTGCTGTTGACTAGCATCTATGAAGGCCGGCATGGTATACCCCACCAGGTACTCATTTGAGACTGGGTCGACCTCGGGGTGGCCTAAGACCGGTTCAGATAACCATCACCGGTGTTGGCCAATAGAAATCGAACTCAGGGTTTGAAGTGTGACACGCAAACCGCTATACCACTGCTCCACCCAATTAATACACGCTCACCCTCTCACACACAAACACATACGCACCCGCGATGGTTGGCCAGGGGTCAGCCTGGGCGCCCCCGGCAGCAGCCGCCGCCCCCCACGGATCGGCCTGGGCCGGTGGGGGAGGAGTAGCGCCCCACGGATCAGCGCTGGGCTGAGGGACGGTCGGCCTAAACGCGTCCACCAGGTCCAGGAGGGAGCTCTGCCGGCAGAGGAGGTGACGGGAAACACAATAAAACGTCTTTTTCCCAAATCTCGTTACACGTGGGCTGTCCCTCTTTTTGCGGTCGGTTAAAATAGTTTTGCCAATGCAGCACAGCGGACACTACGCGACGGTCGGGGTTCACGCAGATTTGTAAAAACCTTGAGGGCGCTGCGCGCTATCATGTACCGCCGGAGGACCTTGGACTTGGGAGTGATCGGGCAGCCAACAGGGCACATCAACAACGCCTCTGTCACTTTGCATGAACTAGAGATGGGATATCCAATGAAGTTATTTATTACTCTATCGATTATCAGTTCGATTATTCAACTTAATCAACTAACAAACACAGATGTAGAATAAACGCCGTCCATGCATTGCAGATTCCAAGTGAAGTTGCAGTGTTGTCAGCATTATTATCATTGTCATAATCATCATAGATGTCTGCAAGCTAAGTGTGCAGATCGTGGCGAGTCTTAATGACCCAAACATTGTGTACATACGCATGTTAAACTTCTTTCCCACCGTACGTAGCCAACCGTGCTCATCGGGGGTGCGGGGAAGGACAACAAACTAAACACAAAAAGCAGTTATAAATAAGTGAGTTTTAAATCGAGATTTAAAAGTGCATAGCTCCAGTGGCTTCCTAATATCAAAAGGATGAGCGTTCCAGACGGCCGCAGAAGCGCATCTAAACGCGTGCAATGTGGTGGCAAGTGTTTTCTCGACGGTTAGCTAAAAGCCGCTGCTGCGAAGATGACCGGAGTTCGTGTGATGGTTTATGTTCTTTGGCAAGAACGGCAAGATATTGTGTTTCATTTGTGGCGTGCACGTTGTGTGCAATGAGCACGACCTGACAATGCATTCGTTCGGCAACCGGAAGCCAACGAGGAAAATTGGCTTGCGTCACACACGATGTCAATGCATTGTGCACAACGATAGCCAGCACACCGCGATTACACGGTGTCACCGCGATCGTCCACACGCCTCTCTGGACCCGTTAATCGTGTGCGACAATGGCAGGCACAGTTCTGCCTCCGCAGCGGATGGGATGGGGGGAAAAAAAACCTGCGGCCTGCCGAGTATTGCCGGGCGGCTTGAGGTTGCACAGTGAAAACGAGGCACGAGAGGCCGACGAAGAAAAATGCGTGTTACGGGCACGTCGTTTTTTTTGTTTTAGATCCCTCGCTCGCAATCCTTGCAGTTCGGCTCGCGACGGCGCGACGCCGTCGTGCAGTTAACGTCTCACCCTTCGCACGCCTGGAGCGCGGTTTATACTGCTCGCCGTCAACTTTGCCCCCGGGCCCCTTGCGAAAGACTCGCTGCTGAATCTCAACAGATTCCCCGCCTGCTTCGACGAGACAACCAACTTAAAGATGCAACCGAAAAAGCAAACCGGCTTCCATTTTGCAGATCTTTACCCAGGCTGTGTGTGTTGCAGGGTGGTCAACCTGGGATTGAAGGTTTGATAACGAGAACATGACAGGATTTAAGTTTGATTTAAGAAGCATTCTCCAGTGACATCACCCTAATGGCATAGTAAGGATCACACTCAATTATTTAAAAAGTTGTTTCTGGCTGGCTGACAGTCTGAAGCGTGGGCGGGCAAGTGCGCGGTGGTGACGTCACCGGCCGTCACGCAGGGTTAGGCCGGGTCCGTGCGTCGCGCTGACGGTGGGAATTTATTTTATAAAGAGCAAGAGGCAGTCGGTCATAGGCGCAGGAAAAAATGGAGTCTTAAGATTTTACTTGAACAGGGGCAGAGAGTCAACGGCCCGGATGGCTGAGGGAAGGGAGTCCCCAGTTTATGGAGGCAAAAGAGGAAAATGAGCGAGAATGGAACATGGGGTAATTTGCCAGCACGCATTTCAGCTTTTCTCACAGACAGTGGCGCTGGGTAAATTTGATTTAAAGCTTTCGTGACTGCAGGGATTCATTGTCTTCATTCTTTCGGTAAAGTCACGTAGAAGGGAAATAATACAAATAAAACATAATAAAATCCACTGAGGACGGCTGCTTGCGTTGTGGCCAAAACGTCGTGAGAATTGGATTTTATTATGTTTTATTTTTATTATTTTATTATTTCCCTTCTACGCCACTTTACCGAAAGAACCAAGAAAGTGGCGCTGGGTGTGAACGCGGCGCGTGCAGCGAGAGTGGCGACAAGCGCAGACCTCCTCCTTCTTGGCGGCGAGCTTGGCCCTCTTGCTCTCCTCAAGCGCCATCTGCAAGCGCAGGTCGTCCCCACGTCGCATCCGCTCCTCCTGGTGCCAAAAGCGTGGATATACGTGTGGACACGGACACGCAGATACACACACACATTATACATACACGCACATCAACACACGCGCGCAGATACATGCACAAGCGCACACCCCGACGTGTATATGAATGTATACAAACGGCACGCTCGCACAAGTCACACGCGCGCACAACGCACACACAATTAAGGCATACACACGCATAGGAGACACACGGACAGACACACACACGCGCACACCCGCGGACAGCGCACACGTACCAACAACGCACGCACAGACCGCGCGCACACGTATGCACAACGTGAACAAACACACGCACAACGGCACTTCGGACACGTAAAGAGCTGGCACAGAGAGGCCGCATAACCGCACGATTTGACAAATCTGTCGCCAAGCCGTACCGGGAAATACTATGAAACGACACTGACATATTATGGACCGAGTTAACCATAGGCTGTACAGAGCAGAATCATGAGCAAGTCATTTCAACGGTCGCTGCAGCTGCACATTCGTTTCATTGCAGAGAACCCGCAGGAGAAAGAGGATGACATCCCGAGGATGGAAGTGTTAATCTCAATTGGCGTTCATTAGTGGTGGGTTTTATTATTATTTTTTTGCGCAGAGGAAGGGCGGGGATTGTTTTCATTATTCTGCTTCCCGACAACGATCACAAGTGAGAAACGGGTGTCGGTGAGAAACGGCACGTGTGGCAGATCCCAAAGTCGACCGAGTTGTTGAACAGCTGCGAGGGCGTTTGGAAGTGTGCTCCGTTGTCATCGTTCATTCCTTCCTTTTAACCCGCTTAACAAAAAGGCAGAACACGACACAGAACATCGACGTGACCCCGAGGGGAGGAAGAAAAGGTTGCAATTTTTGTTTTGCTATGCTCGTTCGTTCATTGGGGTTGACCCGTGAGATCGCTTGTCCTTCACACTTTAGATCCCCGATTTGAGAATTAATGGTGCGAAACGTTGAAGCAGGTAATAATCAATTGATTATCAGTCAATCGAGTGAAGTTAGAAGAGTCATGAGGTAATCAATCAGCAGCCTTGCAACCAGCCTTTACAACAGCTCCAGAACTTGCCAGGAAACCAGGGTCCATTTCATCACCACCACCACCGCCGCCACCGCCACCGCTTTCACATTGGACAGTCTACGCGGAAACAAACCTCCGCATGCTAGTATGGCGGCATCCTGGCAGAGAACCAAGCTATTCTCTGTTTGGCCCAAATCATAAAACAAGGTCTACTTGGCTTCAGTTACTTTAACGGTATATTTATGGGGTCAAAAATAAAACCACGGCTGTGCCATTGGCGTTCTGACCACACCTCACATGGTCAAATATATTAGCAGGAGATTTTTGTTGATGCGCAAAACTGGTGGTCACATTTCAGTGGACTTTCATCATTCAAAATTTTATTCACATGTTTGTTTTAAAAAGACCAGCGAACGAGGTGATATGTTACTGCGAGCCATAAATTCACAGTGTGGACAACTGCTTTGATTTGCCTGTCGACGGGACGGCCAACAACAAATCCACCGCGGCAAAATAAACAAAGAACAACGAATCAGCGGTGCGGTTTATTTTCTGTCCCTGGTTTCCCAGCGTTCAAAGCTGCACAAAGCGCCGCCAACCAAATTTTCGAAAATCAAAATTGCCAAGAGTGAGGTCAGTATTAGTTCGTGGCGGAGGGTCAAAAGGATCAGTCAGCAGGTTAAGCCCCCGCGTTCTACCTTGTCATGCTCTTCTTTGCTCATACTCAGCGCAAGCTGCAGCTGTAGCTCTTCATCGTTGGCGGGAGGGGCCCGCGGGGCCGTCGGCTACAGTGCAGAGTATTAGAGAGGGTGTTAGCGCGCGCGCACGCACGCGCGCGGACGCATGCACGCCCGCCCGCTCGCCGGCCGGCCCGCCCGCCCCGCCTGTTGGCTCACTCACTCACTCGCTCGCTCACTCACTCACTCGGCTGCCCTCCCCGGGCACTGTGGACACACCAGGCGAGTTCAGAAGCGGCAGCAGAACCGCACGCGGAGCCGGCGCTGTAGTCGGAAATACCGCTGCTCTGCAAAACAGTGCTTAGGGCTGATCGGCAGGTCTGGCCCTAACCCGAACCACAACGCTTCCCCCCCATCTCCCTTTCCCATACATCTAATGTAGCACCAATTACCACCGCACCCAGTGGGCCTTAAACTAACTCTGATTGGCAGCAGCGGCAGTATTTTTCAGAGCAGCGGCATTTTGCACGACGGCGCCAGCATGCGTCCGTGTTAGGGGGCCGTAACGACTCACTGGTTAAAAAACATTTACATTTTTTACGCTCATAATGCGAGAATCAAATAAGTGTACGGCCAGAATTATTATTGTTGATCGATACAAGTTAAAAGTGTTCTTTTGTCTTACCCACTACACATTATAAATGCAACGCACGGCACTGTTGACAATTGAATTGCGGCTCCAAACCTTTGCCAATCGAACCACGAAGGGGGTATTTCGTTACTTCCCGACCAAGTTTAGCCAGGCGAGGGAAGGAGGGGGGGGGAAAACGAGGCAAGAGTACGACGGACAAACAACGTGGCGTTTGCTTTCATAAATCGGCGCCAAAAGACAATGAGTAATTATAAACAAAGCCGTCAGTAAACATTCTAGAGGTGGCAGTTGTTACATCACCAAAAGGGCGTGCCTGTGAAAATGCACATCACTAAAAAAAACAACAACAACAACCGCTTGCACACTGCATACATACGTGGTCAACTACAGAGTCACGGAATTAAGGCCACGGGATATAGATTCCCATTGTGTTGCAATTGGATGATCGATGTGGAATGGTGTTTAACAGTGTCGCACCGTGCTTTGATAGAAAAGTTGAAAATCCTCTTTATGTGACATCGCAGACGTGGCAATTCCATAAAACACAGAATTGCTGATATAAAACACACGAACCGAAGACAAGGAGCGCCACCGGGCCTTGTAAACTGTCAGGCAAGTACTATTAGTGAGCACCTATTAAGGCCAGCGCACAGCAGGGGATGTTAGGGCCACAGCACCATGCATATGCCTGACTGCAATTGATTTTTAGGCCACGTCAACTCTGGGGGAGTCCCAAGCCTGGTTCAGATATCAGCTTCCACTGGAGTTGCACAATTTGGGGAATTAAACCTCAGCCCACTGGGATAGCAGAGCATTGTGCGAACCATTATGCCGCCATTCAGTAGCCTATATACACAAAGATCCCCCCGTATAGCCTTACCAGACTGATGGGGCAAATTTTGTTAGCGAGCGCCTATGAAGGCCAGCAGAGTACACGAGGGGGGTGGGTGGCCGGCCAGAATCATGCCCGGCTGCCTTTGTCTCCCGAGTGGTGATGTTTACACATCGCACGAGGTACTCATTTGCGGCTAGGATAACCTAGGGCAGGCGCATAACTGGTACACAGATAATTGTCACCGGTGTTGACCGTGAGTGGAAATCGAACTCGGGTCGCTGGGTTCACAAGGCAGTGCGCGCACTAACTGCTGCACTAGGACGCTGGGTTCGTAACCACTGCGCCACCGTGTCCCGTCGAAGACACACACAGACAGGCGAATAATAATCAACTCCCACAGGGACGATTATATTTACGTGTTTGCGTGGATAATAATAGATTTCATCGATCAATTTACAAATTATGTACATGCCTACACATTATGTAGTTGTTTCATCGTTTGCAACTCGTGCTTGTAAACAATATATATATTTTAACACGATTATATACATGTACAGTGTAGATGTAAGAACATAGTAACGTAGGATGGGAACAAAGCAAAAACATCACCCACCCCACCAACCCAACCCCACCCCCTCCCAGCCGCCCCCACCCCCCTGGGGTGATCCCATCCTGCCAGCTTGGCTCACACATTCACATGGGATCAGTTTACGAGCGCAACACCAGAAGTCTTTAGAGCACTGGGTGGCAGTAAGGGGGGCGAGGTGGGGGGTATGGGGGTTTCCTGTTAAAAAAAAAACCCAAAAGGCACGAGGGGGGTGGGCAGGGTGGGTCAGGGAGCAGGAGGGGGGGGGGCAGCTGCCAGACCAGACGTTCTCGCCGAGACGACATCCGACGCCAAATTATGCCTTCTTCTCGCGGACGCTCAAATCGGCGGCACGTGGAGCCAGGTACACACTCTCGCGTCTCGGGAAATCAATCGGCCGCTCGAATCTTCGAGTATTCGACGCGCCTCTCTCTCTCTCCCCCTCTCGTTGTGTTTCGGAAGCCATTAAGGCCCCCCCCCCCCCCCCCGCGTGAGTGTTTTGTTTCGGCTGTGTGTAATAAACCTAAAAGGGCACTTCGAGACGGGACGGGCCAGGCAAAGCCCACCTACCAAGATGCCGGCGGGCATTCTTGGTCAAAACGGGTTTTCTAACGCCGATAAAAAAACGTCTTTCGGTAAAGATAACAATGCGAGGCCCTCGCGGGTATGTCACGCATTTGAATGTTACCCTCGGCGGAGCAATGACTGAACATCTCTACGTGAATTGTACCCAGTACACCGCACAGTTCGAGCCCACTTCACACTCAGTGCCTTGGCGAGCTTAGCGACTTCCTCACCAGTAGTGTCCCCTCGAGTCTGGTTCAAACATTGGTGCAATCTCCGAGTTATGGCAGCGAGTAATAAAATTAGTGTTTTTTTACACACGTAAATTGCTTAACCACTGTCAAACTCGCAGCAATCGTACGTTTCACGAACATCATTGCATGTACAATGTCCGAGATAACAGACCCATGCTTTGCGCTTGTTTCAGAAGGGATGTGGTCAGCCATAATGCGTCAATGGTAGACCAAAGTGACGTGTTTTACTGGTAGGAACCTCCTGGTTACACCAGCCCACAGGGGATTATTGTGTCCGTCCGTCCGTCGTGCAGGGAGGGGCTGAGTGGGGCGGGAGGGGAGGGGCTGGGTGGGGAGGGTGGGGCTGGGTGGGGAGGGGCTGGGTGGGGAGGGTGGGGAAGGGCTGGGTGGGGAGGGTGGGGCTGGGTGGGGGGTGGGTGGGGCTGGGTGGGGAGGGGCTGGTCACCCCGTGGTGCCCTAATAAAACTCCACGTTTAACCTACTCACGCCGGCTTGTGCCCGCCCTCACAGTCGGGCATATTTGCGGAATACACCACGCCGCCGTAGACTCTGGCCATTGACTGAGCAACCCAACGTTCCTACCAGTTCCCTCCGCAGGAATGTGTTTCATTGACTTAGTCATAACCACCCAAGGGTGAACTGTGTGGTGACGGGACGGGGCACGTACAAGACAACGAGCGGCTCATTTGCTGCCAGCGCGACACCAGCGCAGGTCGCCCAGCGTGTGACTCACGAGCCAGATTACGCAAGCTAGTGTAAGGCGTACTCACCACCCCACACGTCACGCCGCAAATAAGACCTCCTCACTCAATGCATCTCTCCGATCCCTCCGTTCAGGACATTGTTACGAGATGGCCAGAGTACATGATCTGGGATTCTAGGTTTGTTCCTCACAACCCAGTGGCCAAATACTTCAGAAAGCATTGCCCTCTAGGGGGTCACAATGCATCGATTAATACCGACAGGTGAAGCTCACCATTCACACATCGAATTGTTTGTTTAAGAATAAATGTTGTTCAACTTGCATCACGTGGCCCTTGCAGCTGTTGAGATAGTTATATTCACAAAAACATTTTATATCAGCTATTCAATCAAATCGTGACCCTGAATCGTGACACTCCATGGAATCGTCAGGAAGCCAATCCTTACACCCTTAATGCCCAAACCTTGACTAGACTAACCTCTTGCCCAATCTCCCCCTCGCGCCAGAAAGCACAGACGTAAACGCTACGCCAAACGCTCTTTGCACATCTGCACCGTTATTGCATCACCTAGTAATTACGAAAAGCACCACGTGCAACAGCTAACACTTGAAAGCAGTGACAATTCATTAGGAGGGGGCCCCGTTACTCTCCGAATGAACACCAATGTCCCCCCCTCCCCGTGTGCCTATCCATTCATCAAGGGCACCTCTTGGTGGTGGCTTGGGACACACCAAGGGTCAACGAGGGCAATTCCCATTGATGTCACCACACCAACGCTTCCTCCCTTCTGCCAGATCCCGCGGTGGTTGCAGTCAACGCCTAACCTCCAAGGTCTGCTCTTACAGTTCCCCCCATCACACTCAGGATGTTTTACATTGAGAGTGAGATTACAGGTTTCATTTGGGCAAGGCAGCCCCGGGCTTGCTGACCCATACGCTCTTCACCAATTCCTGGAATCACTGCTATTAAAGGGACACCGCTGTGCTATTTCACACGAGGGTCATTGTTTTGTGGAGTTTTTCCAAGGCCTTCGGTGCACACACTCTGGAATTAAGCTCAATTTCACATCTCCCCATCCCCCCTGGGTAAGCAAACCGAGCCAGGCGAGGTTTTTTCTGAGAGCGTATATGTCAGCACGGCCATGACACGCTTGCCAATGTTATACATGCAGCTTTCTGTGCATGCACCGCAAGTGAGCGGCGAAGATCATAGACTGCACATTATTCAACAAGTTGCTGTACTCCCGACGAAAGTGTCAGACTATCGAGCAAAACAGCTCAAAATGTGAATTACTTTTGTAAAATGTGCTACAGCCAAATGCACTCATGTTATTACGAAGGAGGTGAATGAGGTTTTTCAGAGCAACGGCTGAAAGTGAAAGCACGTCGATGTATGTATGCAGAAAGTTACGCCACGTGTGCACATCTATGCCTATGCAGCTACCTTGACCGAGTATTATGGGTGCACTGATGCATTTATCCATCAATATTGATTCTTCAGTACATGCATCCATGGAATCGTTTTGAGCGTTCAAGCAAACAATGGAAGGTTGCGAATTTGTGTGCGTCAACTCTGGCCATCACTCTACAGTGGTTAGTCGACAGTGATGAGTCATTCCTTTAAATAGGAACATGGAATTTCCACCACTGGCCACAAAAGAGATAAGTGGTGACCAATGCTTGTTTGAGCGTGGACTTTGCTCGGTGAGTAAACTGACCCAGGAGCCTCATGCAGTAGCAGTGATGATCATTTACACTGCTCAACCTTGTGCATGTTAGCGTTAAAGGTGCACCCATTCGCAACCCTGACAACTTGCCGAACATTCAAAACATAAACACTGTCCTTTGCAAGATAAGAAAAGGTTTACTGTCGAATGCGTTTTCGTGTTGTACCACGGTGTTGTCTGGAAGCGTAGTCAGGAGCGCAATTCAATTCAATTCAGTGAATTGAATTCAGTGAAGGCTCGACGCTCCACTCTCGCAATTCAACTCGCCGAATTTCACTTCCTAAAGAAGTTCTCCGCACGCGGAGCGACAACAGACATCGCGCGAATGACACACGGCGCCCGCCGAAAACGCACACCGCAGAATTGTACAACATAATCGTGAAAACGTAGCACAATATTACGCGCAAAGATGACTCTACTGCTCGCACAACCGCGTGTGCAATGAGTGCCCGACTCTCAGCGGTTGGCAGAACTGCCCGTCCACCCACCCACTAACTGGTGCATGCCAACGTGGCCCCAAGGGAATAAATGCCAACATTCAGGGTTAACCAGCAAGTGCGTCAAGGCAACCCCATCTGACCAGACACCCCAGAAAAACCTCGCCTCCCACTACTTTTAAATCACCAGTGTCAAATCAGTGCACCTCACACTTGATGGGTGTGAGGGGATTAACTGTCAATTCACGGTTGCATCAACGGGTGCATCAATGTCCTTTGCTGTTGATGTTTTTTTCACTGGGCAAATCAATGATTGTTGGGTGAAAACAGGTGATATTTAAATGAAATTGTAACGCAAATAAGAAATAAATGTATCTTGTAACTGAATTCATCCATGAATATTTGCACAGGCAATGATTCCCCCTTAATATTTGATAAACTACTCACAATTTGATTCAATAATACACACTTTTTTCACTGTGAACACAGTACAAAAAATACCAATTAAAATAATTGGTATTCAATATAATGTACTGCAAGCACAAGAAATAGATTTTAGTAGATGAAATTTAAGCATTTTAGCATGCCTAAAGTGGCTACAAAATTCACAAATCTGGCACCCGGCTGATGATTAGAATATTTAGCGTTCAAATTTGTGGTCAAATCCGCCTATTATCTTTCCAGGATTGATAAAACTAGCACAAAATTGTGGGAGGTGGTTATATCCTACGAAACAATTTGGCATCCTCCATAATAACATGGAATTTCCACAACTGGTTCAGAGCCATTGACGCCCACCCCCATAACCTCCGTTTGCGCAGGGGAGACACTCTTTGACTTTTGACTTTGAATGAACAATTAACAGATAAGTATCAGAAACGAATGCGCGCAAAAAGTGCTGCCCTCACCCTTCCCAGAAAACCGATCAAGCTTTGCCCAATGGGCACAAGGTGAACCTGCTCCAGAGAGATTGCGTGCCCGGGCCCCCGGGTGTACACACAGCATCAACACCCCGCTGCCTCCCACAAGGTTAGGCCCATTGCCAAACAGCCCCAAGAGCAAGGATGGACTTTGTTTTTGGTCTGCCTCGCAAACCGTCGCCATCACGATCACTCAAAAAAATACAATTAAACTAAGTTGCTCAACTTTTTGGTTTTCATGAATGAGGGCCTGGCATTAAGTTTCTTGTTAATTATCAGTTGCAAAGCAGAGGCCTATTTTCCTACAAATGCTGCTCGGGAAATAACAAAGAGCTAGCGGCCATGAACAAAGTGTACGGCTAAATGTCTCCCAACGGTGAACAAACTCATGTTACGCAAGGGGTCGCAGATAAATCCAACTAGAGCACCGACCGACTGATTCGACCAGACATCCAAACAGGGCAAATGTTCTTTCAGAGGTTTACAGCACGATGTGTATTCGCGAGGCCAAACAAAATCACAAACCTCCAAATGCGTTTCATCCCGTGGGTGTGTGTCAATGCTACTGCAGCAGAACTATTAAGTAGGGTTGCCACAACATAATTTTTCAAAGTACAATGTTAATATTAACTATTTGATATGATTATCACAATTCAGTTTCCTGTAGATTTGTAAGTGAATTTCCACAATTTTATCGTATTCGATTTGTGCTTTGCTGGACTCCAGCACAAAATAAGGATTTGTACTTCAACGACAGTTGACTCGGTATATGCCTGCCATAAGTAATTGAATATCTGCAACATCACAACCTATAATGCTTATCACTCACGTTCTGTTAGTTATACAAGGCCTAATTAAATAACTAAATGAACTAGGGAAGCAATGAGGTAACAGCCATCACACATCAGTTACTCTGGAAAACATTTTGCGAAGCACTCGTTTATAACGGACAATAACAATGTATTTCGAAGTTTAATTATTGTGATTTTGTCATTTGTGAAATATTGTCTCAGGATATAAAATATGAATTAAAATATGAGCAAAGATAATAAGACATTTCTCCTTAAACTCCGTTTTTTTTTCCTAAACACATTTTTTTTTAAAGGAATTGCTCAATACATTTAAAGTAAAAACCTGAAGAAAATATCGGCCCTCTGTCTTATTTTCCCAAAGCAAAGAACAAATCGTACACACATCTAAATCACCATCTTTCACCAAAGTATTACCTTGCAACACAAGAATTATAACGGATTGGGAAAAAAAGTGGAAATGTATTCTTTTTAGTTTTGTTGTTCGGCTGGATTTAATGCGCATGTAATTATTTTTCGATATAAAGCTTTCGTGACTGCAGGGATTCATCTTCTTGGTTCTTTCGGTAAAGTCACGTAGAATGGAATAATAAAATAATAAAAATAAAAATTCAGGTGCTGTCTCCCCGACAGACCTGGTCTTCACCTGAGGACGGCTGCTTGCGTTGTGGCCGAAACGTCGTGAGAATTATTTTATTATGTTTTATTTTTATTATTTTATTATTTCCCTTCTACGTGACATTACCAAAAGAACCAAGAAGATGTAATAATTTATCGTTGAATGTATGTACTGCTGAACTTTCCGTACTGCTGAAATGGAAGTATTAATTATTGAGTGATGCTACGATAATGCTACAATGGGTGCGAAGTTCCACAGATACATTGTACTCACCGGAGCATTATGGGAGGACAAGGCACTGTTGTATGCATTGGTGTGTGAACGTGACCTCAAAGTTATACCTAGCCTGGTACAAGAGGCTAAGACATCAACAGAAAATGGGTCAATAAATTTTTAGTATGTATGTTTGTGTGCATTGCACTGCGCATGTCTGAGTGCGGGCCTACATGTGTACGTGTCACGCATGTCTGTGTGTGTGGATGCATGTGGTGCTGTGTGTGTGTGGATAGCAAATGCTTGTTTACGTGTACACGTGTGTGTACATGTGAGGACGCGTCTGCCTGTGTAGGTGGCAGCACATGTGTACTATGCGCGTAGATGTCTAAAATTATTTGTTGTTCGTGTGCTTTAGAGCTGGGACGATTAATAGACTAAGTCGATTAATCAACAACAAAAACATAATCAACTCTGTTCACAGTTTACTCAGGACTCTTTAAAATGGAACCCCCCCACACCCCCTCCCTACATTCTGCCACCTGAAGGCAGGAAACCCCACCAAGACGCATGCATCATGAGCTTAAGAATCGATACGAAGCAATGAATCGGTGAACAGCTATACCCGATGTCTGCGCGCACGCCTGTGTACGTAAACAGATCTGTGGCTATGTATTTGTGTTTCCGTGTGTACACACGGCCGCCTGCGTCTGCACGCAGAGCGCGCGCGCATGCACGCGCGAGTCCACGTGACTCCAAGTTTGTCAGAGCTGCGACTGCCACCGGACGATTGAAGCAATAGATCCAACTATCGATTATTCCATTGAATCATCGACCAGATAGGTTCGGAAAAAGCACCTACTCATTTTGATACACGCACAGGGATCAAAACGTGGCATTGGGCGGGGGTTGATGACGTCATCATGCTGAGTGTGCTCTTCGGCCGTTGTCACCGCGTCACGATGGGCGCACACTGTGGTTTTGGGAGGCCGGATGCCCATAGCTGCCCATTTGTCATTTAAAAATGGGGGGTGCGTAAATTTATTCTAAAATAAAATTATAATCAGCTATTGTTAAAACCAGCTAATCGACCCAATCTATTCATCGTCTCAGCACTACACGCTTGTGCCCTCCTAGGCGCTGGCACTAACCTGTTCGGCCTCCTCTCGGCTCATGGCGAGCGCCAGCTGCAACTGGAGCTCCTCTTCGCCGCTCGTCTGAGGTCGGGCTTGCTCCAGGTCTGAAGGTATGCGCGATGTGGCTGCACACGCACGCACACACACACCACATACACCGACACACGACGCACGACACGCACAGACACGCACAGACACATTCTCGCAGACGCGCGCATACACAAACCCACACAGGCAGACACACAGACACGCACAAAGACAGACGAGCGCACACAAATGATCAATTTAGCCTAACAGACCTGATGGGAAAAGCTCTGTGAATGAGCGTACACTAAAGCCGGCGCAGTGGTGTGGCCAAAACCTCGCCTCGCAGCCTGTTTCCCCAGTGCTGTTATTTATACACCACTCTGGGTACTCATCTAAAGGCAGAGTTCACCATACCGCACGCCACTGTTGTGCATGGCTGGAAATTGACCCGAGGACGCTGCAGCTACCGTGCAGTGTGTGAACCAGCCACAGCACTCCCCGCACGCATCATCCATGTTTGCCTTGTACACGAGGATTAAGTGTCCGCAGTGAGCAACTATCAACGTTTACACACAAGAACATATGGCGAAACCAGCTTACCAGGCCACCTTTTTTCTACCCAGATTAAGTAATGGAGACCACAGTCCATCACACCGGATGCTCATTTTGAGGCCAAGCCAACCCAGAGTAGACATAACCAGGTATGGATAATACATTTCACAAACGGTGACGCGGACATGTGAGCAATGATTTAACCCATGACTGAGCTCATAGGACACCATTGAGCGCACACAAGAGAAGGGCAAAAGTAGATACAATGGCATTGGAAAACAGAGGGCATAGTGGAATAGTCATTCACTTTATCAAATACATATAGTTAAGTGCATTTTATTACACACAAGTCAGTTCAATGTTCGTTTCACTCGGTGACAGCAGATTGACAGCGAGTCAACATCCTTTACTGTTTGAGAGCTCAATGACGAAAGGATTGTTGGCAACAGGGCACTGCAAGATTATCATTCTATAGCATAACCATTGATGTAATACACATTTCAAAATTAAAACGTCTTACCTAAAATGAGTATGGGATGTTGCTCACCTCCACTAACGGTCTTGGTGGAAAAACCATATTCCTAATGAAGGGCCTTTCTCACTTTAGAACAACCAGTGGTGCTTATTTTATTGACCGATGGGCTGAGATGGCGCTAGAGAAGCTATGCGCTGTGCCACAACACACTTCCCAACAGATAACGATGTTTGCTAGCGTACACATTAAACTAAAACTAAATTTCGATTTAAAGCTTTCGTGACTGCAGGGATTCATCATCTTGGTTCATTCGGTAAAGTCACGTAGAATGGAAATAATAAAATAATAAAAATACAACATAATAAAATTATTCTCACGTTTCGGCTACAATGCAAGCAGCCGTCCTCAGGTGGAGAGCAGGTCTGCCCTCTGTTAATTTTTATTATTTTATTATTTCCATTCTACGTGACTTTACCGAAAGAACCAAGAAGATGAAACTAAAACTAGTTTAAAACTACTATAATGGCCTAATATCATGTCTGTGTACAGCCAAATCCACTGCTGTCTGTGTACAGCCAAATCCACTGCTGGTTAAGGGCCATTCCACGCCATGCAGACAATATGTGACCAGACTTCACCACTTGATACAGCTATCGTGCTGTGACTATTCCACCTGAAGACGGAAGCTTGTGTTGCCTCCTAAGCGTCGTGATTTTTTTTTATTAATTACAATTTTTTACCTACGTGACTTTACCGGCAAAACCTAAGAATATAGACTTCACCACGCTGGTCAGTGCTTTTTGGTAAAACAGTGAACAAAGATGCGGGGACATAGAAGTACAGCACAATAATTGACATCTCCACACTCCTATCAACTGTCCACCGTGTGGCCTCACAGCCACAAAACAAATAGTTATTGCATGGCGATCGCCCATCCAAACACTATTCAGGTCTGCAACCTGCTTAGCTTCCAGGATTGGGCACATTCTGGTTGAACTGGCCAAGGGAAATAATTGCACAAATATAAATGAGAAAATAAGCAAATATATTTATTATAAAGCTTTACCTGGATAATCCCTCAGGTGCAATATCGCTCCTACGCGTAGCCGTAGAATCAAGTGACATATGCAGAGGAGAATTTAAAAGAGTAACCAGGTTTGTTTAACAATCACTGAAAGAGGCCAGTTGCCAGACATTGGATGGAATACATTCTGTTGACTACATCAACTTCTTATTTCCTCTCAGTGACAGCAAAAAAATATATTTGCTACTATTTTTAACATTCCCAACTGTTTCGGGTTCACTGACGCAGCTCAACTGTGTAGATTACAAACATGTTATTTTGAAAAACAATAAAATGAGAAAATGTAATTAAGCCAAAATGCCTGACGGCCATTATTCCCGACAAACGACTGCTGTTGAAATGTTGTCACATAAAGTGTGCATCGTAATAAAATTGCCTTTAATACTCCATCTGAAGCCACATGAACAGTCCAACGTACTTTGTGGCATCTTATCCATTACTATAAATTGCAACTGAAAGCTATACAGTACGAGCTGATGTATATCACCTCTGTAAAAAAACACCATACGTTATAGCAATGCATTGCAACCGTGGGTGTAGGTTTCATTTCGCAGGTTTCAAATAAACGACAAAAATAACAGATTTCGATTTAAAGCTTTCGTGACTGCAGGGATTCATCTTCTTGGTTCTTTCGGTAAAGTCACGTAGAAGGGAAGTAATATAAGTATTACTTCCCTTCTACGTGACTTTACCAAAAATAACAGAGGTGAAAAAAGAATCGATTCATGTCGGGTAATGTAAAATAAAAAAATGTTGTTTATTCGGTTTGCCATTGAGAGAAACTGCACAAAACCGGATTGAAACTGGGGACTTCTCTGTCGAATTTCTCTGTTTTCCTCACGAATTCACTGCTCATGTATTTGCCCACTCAATATATGAAAACACCCGGTGGCTTCAAATACAAATGGCCCCTGAGTAAAGAAAATAAAACAACACACTTTGGCAGCGCTCATAGGATAAATACCGCTATCGCTACGTAAACATGTTAATGTTATATTTTTTACGCCAGCTTATTGCCATCAAGAGGTTGAGTAGATTTTTCCCAGTGCTAGGGACGAGTTTGTCCAGATTCTGGCACTGGTATTCATAATGCTGTGTGGCACTAGCAGGGCCGCACAGAGATTGCCAGAGGCCCGAGGCAAAATGTTACGTGGGCCCCCCTTATTCGTCAGTGAAAAAACAACATGTCCCATTGAGGGCCCTTCTTTGTGCAAGGCCTGGAGCAAATGTTCCCTGTTGCTCCTCCACCGCTGCTCTGGGTGGCCCAGAGGACTAGTCTCACCATTGAGAGGTTAAGAGTTAAAATCAAAGTCTGAGATTCATTCGGCCCAACACTAACCAGTTCGTGTATGAGGCCAATAAAATGAGTACCACTTTGGGCAATTCAACCGTGGTTGTTCCTCAAGGAATGTGAAATTGCACCACGGGCTCAAGGTCACCAATGGAGAGAGAAGTTCCACCACACTGCTCTTTGAACAGGAAGGCACTTCGACTCTTACGTCGAGCAAATAAACACAGGCCAAGATCTCAGATTATTCCACACTAAGCACACGTACAGTGACAAAACATCTTTCCAATTGACTTTGCCGCCTTATCTGTGGCCTCCGAGTTAGCCTTTTAAATTGCCTCGGACTGGTACCAGCAAACTTAAAACAGCGTGCCACTGTGCCACTCGCGCCCAACGCAACGACAAGGTTGCACCTCGTGATGCGCACTCCACAACAGAGATGAGAACAAAACAAAGTCCTTTCACAAACACACACACGCCATCACGTAAAAGCAGAACAGTGCGTGGAAAGTACCCTTCACGGTTTCAGTTATTTGGGGGCCGAGCAGCATTCTTTGACCCGCGTGGAGGGAACATTTGGAACAGGCTCTGCTGCACTCCGATACGCGTGGTGGAGCCGATCATCAGATGGCAACGTCAGGCTTGGGTGCGTGGTACAGTCCCCGTGCCGTAGAATTATCTCAAGCACTCATTCCCCCCCCCCACCCCAAAACAGGGGGGCAGACCGGACCACGCGGTTTGTGCACTGCTTGCACACAAACAGTTCGCAAACAAATCACAGTACGGTTTGTTGTTTTGAGGGTTACACACCTGGGGAATTTAGATAATTAAGTATTTATTTTGACGGCCAAAAATAGCCTGCCTGTGTGGTTCTATTCTGTTGAATGATGCCTGTTCAAAAGTCGTATCTCACAAAACATGCATGTGGAAACTATGCTGAATGTAATCAAGTGCATTCCCAGCCACTTAAACATTCAGTTATTTATTTTAAATGCCTCCCTTTTTTTTATCCGCCTGTTCAAAAAGCTCAGGTTCTCTGCAAAGCGGCAGGCAACCAGTGCCGGGAGAAGAAGCTATAATCTTGGATGACGTCGGCACCTACGCAGTACGAAGGAAAACATTGAGTTGATCCTGTTAAATTCCTATGTTTCATTCAACAGCACTACTGCGGTAAAGAAAGTCATGACATTACAAAAATTCATTCGGATCAAAGGGACTACAAATGTCTATCGAAAGAAAAAATAAAACGGTTGAGAAAAAATATATAAACTTCACATGTCGGGCCATTTCCACGGCCGCCTTCCCCCCATAAAGCTGCACTCTGACTCAACCCAGCCTGGTAAATGGTTGTAAAGCTTAACCGGCGGCGCTGCTTGCGCATTGAGGCGGCGATGGCGTGAGGGGGGCTTCTGCCCACCCAAATGTTGGCCAATCCCCCGCCGATGAAATGCATCGGCGGCGAGCGGCTGAGTGCCCCCGGTCAGGCGACGGGAGCAGAGCCTCAACCACTTCAGCTGTGCAAGGTCACGGGCGTTCGGGCTGTGGGAACAAGTTGAAGCGTCACGCTGCTACCCCTCGACCACGACAAGCACGGAACGGTTCGGCCTCCACGATGCTGCGATTCCATGAATTGTCGCAAGTCGGGGGATGTAATGATACATTTTTAATAGAATCTCTTGTTCTCGGATTTTCATCATCC